TGACGTTTATTGTGACGTTTATTGTGACGTTTATTGTGACGTTTATTGTGACGTTTATTGTGACGTTTATTGTGACGTTTATTGTGACGTTTATTGTGACGCTTATTGTGTCGTAATTGTGACGTATATTGTGACTTACATTGTGAAGTTTATTTTGACAAAAGTGAAAAAAGGGACTTTAATTTGTTCAATTCCTCTTGCGGATAAAATTGCAAATCCGGTGAAAATAATTTATCGTTTACAAGCTTAATTTGGCCATAAACACAATGTACTCAAGGTCGCTAGTCGATACGACAGAATGCAATTTTTTCTAATCTCACTCTATACTATACGGGACTTTAATTTTTTGTAGATTTTTTTGGACCTCTCCCGTAAGTAATTTTCTTTTGGATTTGAAGTCGTCCAGGCACAGCTTTCATACTTACGTGATATAACGCAGAGGACACAGCGGCAAAAAAGAAGAAAGGATGGTTTAATCAAAGAATTCTTCATTATATTATAAGTAGTCCATGAACACTAGAAATCATCAAGTACAACTGAAATTAGTTTTGGAGAAAACGATTTACAAATAATCAATAAATTTGCAATTTGTTGACCGTACTTTTAAAAAAAGCTGAAAATATCCGTCTTTTTGCTATCAAGATTCCTTTATCAAGRATTTGAATGACTTTTATATAGTTTATAAATACATGATTAGCTTCCCTAAGTCCAAGTTTAAAGGGTATGGTTTTGGGTCAAAGTTGGGGGAATTCCGCCATCTATAGAGAGTTTTAGATTGACTTTTTTTCTCCCCGCAAACGGCAAACGTGAACACATTTCCATAGTTTTCCTGTATTTTACTTTACCTTTTACAAACTTACCTTCTCACCAAGCGCAAATACTCTTTTGTTTTTCTACTACTTGGACTTTTTGCGATTCTTTTTCAGTAATTTAAAAGAATTTTTTACTGGTCAACTGACGTTTCACGTTTGCCGTGAACGTAAATCTAAAACTCTCTAATATGAAAAAATATTGCTTTTCATATAGGATATTTCCAAAATGCCACTAAATAGTTTGAAAGTGACTTGAAGATTAATACGTACCGTAACATGTTATACGTACGAAGAGTCTGTTGGACTTGCCTAGAGCGTCCTTTCCGTGTCAATGTTATATGTTATATGAATCGTGTTTTTTATATGGTCGCTAGCTATAGCCGGCTGAATAATTGTTTATCAATCCGCCCCCAAATTTAAAACTTCCCAAGCCTTTAATTAACACCTTTGGATTTTCAATATCCCTTGCTTTTACCTGGAAACGCCTTTTTTCAAAACGTTTTTCCGTTTTAAAATGAATTCTCCCGGGAAAATATTTTTGAGATATTATACTTCCGCCTTATCACCGGTAAACTATAAAATGTACGTTTTTTATAAGCACTAGTTTTTAACGCTCTTCAAACCTTATGAAAAGACTGATTTTCGGCATAGTTAATAGAGGGGAATGGTTAGGAAACCTATTGTTATCAGGTCTTTTTTCGCTTTTGATGTTGAACTATGTTTTTGGTTAACATATGTTTACAATCTCAAGCCGTTTGATTAGAGTTGATTAGTACGCTAGCGATGGTGAATCTGCAGAATGAGCTCTATTCAAGCCATGGGATTATTCCTCCTGTTATATATCTAAATATATACACACACGCAAACAGACCTAAGGCTGCGTTCATAATGTATGGCGGGGGGATCGGGAAAATTTTGGTAGGAGAAAGAGGGGGATGGGCACATTTTTGTCAGAAAAATGGGGGCGGATGCACAATTTTTGAAAGAAGCTACAAGC